TCCTAACTCACTTGGGACATAGTAGGAGCTCAATAAATCCTTGTAGCCCAAGAATGACACAGCTGAATGAGCTAAATGAATGAACAAATGACGAGAGTTTAAGTTCTCCTCTCTCCAAAAGAAGAATATACTCTCTTCATCTTTATAACATCCCTAAGAGATGTAAAATGGAGAGAAATGATGGGGACCCTTCTCCCCACTTGCCAGGTGAGGAGATGGAAGTGGCTGAGCTATGAACCTTAGGTTTCAGGGACAACAGACCATTGACCATTTTCTCTGAACACTCATACACCTCACTTCTACATTAGTGCCCTCACCTAGAGTACTCTTTTCAAGGCCTATAACAATCCAACCTGCCAGACACATATATTTGGAAGGACACGAAAGAAATTGGTAATAGAGTTCCTCCATGAGGGGTATAGAAGGGAGATTTGTGTACATTTTTTACCCCATTGTATTGTCGAAGGTTTTTAGACATACATGTGATACTCTTGCAATAAACAAACCTGTAAACCAAGTTATTAAATGAAAACTTACACGATGAAAGAAGTTTCTATCCACTTTCCAAATTCTAGGTCAAATACTTCCAAATGCCCTCTACTTTCTTCTATGATTTTATCAACTTTTCTCATCTTTTGAAAATTCTTATACTTCGATTCATTTCAATTCAATTCAAGTCAACTCATACGCTTCAATTATAGATAGCACATTCTAATTTTTACCGTGAGACCTGGATACAAATTTTAGCATTTGCTCTCCTCCCTAAATACACGTTCATCCAGTTTTTCATTGAGGCCTCTGGAGTCAGGCTGTGTGACCTCAGAGAAACTTTGCTACACTACTCTGTGCCTCTCTTTCCTCTTTTATAAAAGTACTAGTGGCCCAGTGCATGAAATTCATGCACATTAAAAGGGAATTAATAAGAGGAAATATTTTAATGTTGCTATTTGCCCTTTCTCTATAATAGAAGTGTCAGAGATGAAAGAAAATTAGTAAAATGTATATGAAAATCTTCCTCCTGTCAGAGTCTGGGGCATGCCGCGAGACCCAGAGTCAAGTCCCCGCCCACCTGCATGCACTATAAAATCGCGCGAGACCCAGACCTGGCCGGCCTTACCCCTGTCAAGCCCCTCCTGGTGGAGGGCGCAGCCTCAGGTCCCCCGGCACACCCTCAGGACCTACTGCCTGGTGCCAGGGTGGGGAGCCTGGCCTCAGGTCCCCCATTAAGCCCCGCTGGGCTGGGGGCTGCGGCCTCAGGTCCTCCAGCCCAGTGCCGGGGTGGGGGGGGGCGCATCCTGAGGTCCCCTGGCCCGGTGCCAGAGCGGGGGATGCAGCCTGAGGTCTCCCGTCAATCTCCACCGGATGGGGGGCACAGCCTCAGGTCCCCCGGCCCAGCTCCACGCAGCCTCAGGTCCCTGCTGCTCACTCATTTTGGCTTGATACGGGAACCCCGCCTCAGCTGTGGGTGCAGCCATCTTGTGTTACAGGAACCCTGCCTCCACTGTGGGCACAGTCATCTTGTGACGGCGTGATGGAGTGAGGGTTAATTTGCATATTACCTCTTTATTATATAGGATCATGGTAGTAACAATTGAAACATATCTCTTAGGGTTGGCCTGAGAATTAGATAAATGATACACATGAAGCACTTAGAACAGTGCCTGGTAAGTAGTAAGCAGAGGCACATGCTGTCATTACTCAGTCCACAGACATGTGTGGAAGAGCTCTCTTGGACCAGACTCTGTGTCAGGTGCTGGCAGAGGCTGTGTTTGCTCATTTTGCTCCCACACCTCTCACCGTGCCTGCCACATCATGCATCCTAATTACATAGTTGCTGAATGGGATGGTCCCAGGTCAATCTATGATAAAACAAATAGCCCTGATGTTTTGGTTTCCAGTCCAGTGCTGGAGACAGAGATGGTGGTGGCATTATTAAAGCTTTTGAGAAATAAAAGTGCCCAGATCTACATCTTGAGATAAAATGGGCCCAAGACTGTTATATACACAGGGTTGGACCAAGTCTAGAACCCACATTTACTTGTCCCTCATCTCCCCCACCCCCCATGTGTGGAGAGGAGGTGGAGAGGACCTGCATGAAGGAATAAAACATGCTATTGGGGTAGACTCATAAATTGTAACAAATGTGCCACTCTGGTGGGAGATGCTGATAATAAGGGAGGCTGTGCATGTGTGTGTGTTGGGGGGGGAGGGTAGGGAAAAATCTCTGTACTTCTGCCTCAATTTTTCTGTGAATCCAAAACTATTCTAAAAATAAAGTCTATTTTTTAAAAAGTACCATAGGGGAAATGGAAAATTCACTTTATTAAGGGAAGGGCCATGAACTTAAAAAAAATCTATCTATATATAAAAGCCTAAGCCACCAGAATGAACGGTCCCCATGATGCTCACTGACCACCAGGGGGCAGACAGTTAATGCAGGAGCTGCCCCTTGGTAGTCAGTGCGCTCCCACAGCCAACCTCCCCCAGCCAGCCAACCGCCCAGTCCCTCCCCCTGGCTGGCAGGCCCTGATGGTCCAATTGGGGCTGGTCCCTGGGCTGGGATGGGGAATTGGGGGTGGGTGGCAGCAGACGTGGCCCCTTTCCCAAGAGGACTGAGGGCTGGCTCCTTCCTTGGGGCCGGTGGCCAACCTCCCATGCTCTGTCTCTCCCCACTGCCAGCAGGGCCTGATCAGCCTGCCACCTGCCTGCCATGGTGGAGGTGTGGTGGCAAGGGAAGGAGGAGGGGGAAGGCGGGGAACTGTGTGGCGGTGGGACGCCGACAATGGTGGCGTTGATGTCTGTTCCTTCTGCACCCGGCCTGGCCACCATTGCCTCCTCTCCAGCCCAGCTCTGATTGCTGGCCAGGCCTAGGGACCCTACCCATGCACGAATTTCGTGCACCAGGCCTCTAGAGTGTGTGTGTGTGTGTGTATACACACACACACACACACACACACACACATACTAATAAAAGAGTAATATGCTAATTAGACTGGGTCAACCGGACATCTTCCGGTCATCCAGTCCTCCTTCCAGACAAAGCCACAGTGGCTGGGGCTGAGGCAGAGGCTGTTAGGGGCCATCAGGCCAGCAGGCAGAGATGGTTAGAGGTGATCAGGCAGGTAGGCAGAGTGGTTAGGGGCGATCAGGCAGGCAGGCTGGTGAGCAGTTAGGAGCCAGTGGTCCCAGATTGCGAGAGGGTGCAGACTGGGCTGAGGGACCCACTCCCGTGCACAAATTTCATGCACCAGGCCTCCAGTACATAGATATTTCAGAAAGGAAAGGAGAGGAAGAGATGGAAACATCAATGATGAGAATCATTGATTGGCTGCTTCCTGCATGCCCCCTACTGGGGACCAAGCCCACAACCTGGGCATGTGCCCTGACAGGGAATTAAACCATGATCTACTGGTTCATAGGTCGATGCTCAACCACTGAGCCATGTGAAATTTTTGATTTTTACAATTCTGACTGGGAATTGGAAGGTGAGCTGAAGGGAGATGGGAAGGGGAGACGGTACTGATTTTAGAAGAACTGGGCTTCTTGGTTGGGTGACTCTGTCATGGCTGATCTGTCCCACTTGCAAAACATTTCTGTCTGGGTTTTATTGGGGTTTCACAGAAGGGTGTGTATTTAAAAATAAATACACTTTAAAAGTGGTGTGCATATTTCAGAGAAGACAGAATGGAAGGAAGGGAGCCACTGCTGATTGGGTAGACACACCCTGTGGGGGCTGGGCTGTTACTCACTAACCAGTGACCTCCACAGTCTTGAGTGGAACAGCTGTCAGTAGCACCTGAGACGTCATGTGCCAGGAGGCAAGAAAGCACAGAAATGAAAAACCTTACCACAGTCACTTAGAGGTGTTCTAAAAAGGAAGGAATTGAAAATAGGCTGCACCCAGGAAGGCCCTTCCTGTGATTCAGTTTGGCTTTCTGAGCCTTGAGCTCAGTTATTCCTCTCCCAGACATCGGGCAGCAAGAGCCACGGGTCTGCCTGATTCTGAGGAAAAGTGGGGCCAGGAAGGTCTTTCCACCTGGGAGTCTGGCAGCCCCTCTGGTCTCCCAGGCATGTCTCTGGGATTTTCCTGGAGGAGTCCATAATGGATGTACTGTCTTGAAAACCCCAAGCACAAAACACACGGAGGCTCCGGATTCCCCCCACGCACACTTCAGGCTGCCTCCCACACTCTAATTAAAGTCCCAAGGCCTTTAAGCTGAAACGAGACTCACCCCAATACCCAGTGAACCCAAAGTTCACTTCTTGCTTGGCTTTTTCTTTCTCAAATACCTTTTCCCACAGCCCTGATGCTACCAAACAGAGAACATCAGCTAGCCTTCAGAAGGCAAGAAAGACAGGGGCAGAGCCCAGTCCGAGTGCTCTGCCGTGTGACTGGCCTGCGCTGAAGCTGCCCCGACCACTCACTGTAACCAGAAAACCAGAAATCCTGGCCTCTCCCGTCTTGCTGCCTTGGAACCTTCTCTTCCAGGAAAGTAGCCACCGGTACAACCGCCCTGTGGCCACTCTGTTCTCAACCAAATGCCTGGGATTTTTGCTTCTACCCTCTCTTCCCACGACAGTCCTCCCTTGTTGTTGGACCATGTTTCTGACCCCTTCCAGGGCCAGGGTGTGGGAGCCATTTTCTCCCAGAGCCCCGTCTCCCCATCTCAAGTTCTTAGCCTGGGTCTTTGCCAGAAGGACATCCGCACAAAACCACCCACTCAACCAGGACTGACCAGAGCCTGTCACCGGAGAGGCTGGTCTAGATGGTGACCTGTGCCTTTGGCTCAGAGCTCCCTTTTTCCTCGGAACCCGGGGCACAGGAACTCACAGTGTTCCTTCCCGTTCGAAAGAGGCAGATGAAACTCCCAGCCAGTCCCTAAGGAAGAGGCGGCTGAACCACAGCCCCTCGCCACCGCGCCTCCTGTCAGTCCCCGGGGCTAGCTGACTCCATGGCAAGTAACACCAGGGCTCCAACCCTCACACACACGGACACCCACCTGTTCCACAGCTCCGGTCACAAGCCAGGGAGAGAAACAGCAGGACGTTCAAGGAGAGAAGCCCCTTGGGATCCATCCGTGAAGAGAAGGAAGGAGCTTGGTGAGAGGAACCCCCGGCGGCAGCTGCTTGTAAACGGCACGGCAGAAGCGAACTCTACCGGGCAGTCCTGCCTCTGCAGACTAGACCAGGCATCAGGAACCAGCAGGCTTCCTGTCTTAACGGGACTTTTTGATCTAGCGAATTGCTCATCCCCCTCAGGCCTTAAATCACTTTGTTGTTCCCAAGAAGTCCGAGTCAGGTGCTTAGACCATAAAGCCGGGAAAGGAGCTGTGTGGTCACTTTGGCCAAACCCTGGTATAACCGCAGAAATGTGCTCCCCTATTAGCTGTCTCCAGGAAAGGGGCCACCAAGATTTCTGGGCAGTTCTGAGTGGTAACTCTTCCTAGAGTTCAAAGGAAAGGAAGTTTTGTCAGATCACTCCCAAATTTGGGTTAGGCAGGTCAAGTGGAACGTGGATGACTGAACTTTAATGAGTCAAAGGACCTCTTATTTCTGATTTGTTTCATACTTTCAGAGAACACCTCTACATGTAGGCAGGTCCTGGTGTCAGTCATAGAGAGGTGGGTGGGCAAGTGCAGATCAGTCGTCAGAAACCCAGCTTCCCTGCTGGATACAAGGTGGTAGCATTTAGTGAGCTCTGTGGTTGTTTGGAGGGACCGCCTTTATTTTTGAGCTTGTGTCTAAATTTTTTTAAAAAATATATTTTATTGATTTTTTACAGAGAGGAAGGGAGAGGGATAGAGAGTTAGAAACATGGATGAGAGAGAAACATCGATCAGCTGCCTCCTGCACACCCCCTACTGGGGATGTGCCCGCAACCAAGGTACATGCCCTTGACCGGAATCGAACTTGGGACCCTTCAGTCCGCAGGCCGACGCTCTATCCACTGAGCCAAACTGGTTAGGGCCTGTGTCTAAATTTTTATTGAGGAGAAGTAACAGAATAAGAGCCCACGTGCTTTTCCATGAGTTATGCTATAAGAATGAAACCTGGGAAAGATGCTATTACGGTGTTCACAAGGAGTCTTTAAAAGACCAGGCTAGTGTTTTGTTTGTGTGTTTTTTAAAATAAAATATATTATTTACTAGAGACCCGGTGCACAAATTCGTGCACGAGTGGGGTCCCTCGGGGTGGCCTACAGAGATTGAGCCCCAGCTTGCACCCCCAGCCTCGCAGCCCCGCAGCCCTGCCTGGCACTCCGCTTTGGTCTGGTGTCGCCCCTTCACATGCTCCACCATCCCGCCTGCAGGGTGATTGGTTGGGGCTGGGACCCCAACCCGGCTCCCTCAGTGCCTGGGAGCTGGACAGACGCCCTGCCCCCTGCTGCTGCTTGTCACTTTCTGCAGGGTGATCGGCGGGGCAATTGGGCCCCCGCCTGCACCCACCTTGGCCTGGTGCCACCTGCTTACCTGCTCCACTATCCTGCTGCAGTCCTGCTCTCATTGGGGCCCATAGGGGCCGGCAGCACTTCCACTGCCACCTGTTGCCAGTGCTGCATCGCTGACCCCTGCTATGTTCCATGCTGCCCCCTGGTGGTCAGTGCACATCATAGTGAGTGGTCGAACTCCTGGCCTCCTGGTCAAACTCCTGGCCAAATGACCACCTGAGGGGACAATTTGCATATTAGGCTTTTATTTTATAGGATTTTAGAGAGGAAGGGAGAGGGAGAGAGAGATAAAAACATCAATGATGAGAGAGAATCATTGATGGGCTGCTTCCTGCACACCCCCCACTGGGGACTGAGCCTCCAACCTGGGCATGTGCCCTTGACCAGAATTGAACCCAGGACCCTTTAGTCCACAGGCTGATGCTCTAGCCACTGAGTCAAACCAGCTAGGGCACCAGGCTAATGTTTTTAAAGTCCATTTTAACAGCTCAAACTCACTCTCCAAATGGACCTCCATAAGGAGATCAGGATAATAAGAGAAATAAAGACTTTCTTAGACAAACAAAAATTAAGGGAATTCATTTCCAGTAGTGCTGACTTGTAAGAAATGTTAAAAGAAGTTTTTTAAGAAGAAGGAAAATATTATAGATCAGAAACTCAGATCTACATAAATAAAGGAAAAGCATCAGAAAAGGAATAAATGAAGGTAAAATAAAAACTTGTATTTATCTTATTCATCATTGATCTAACAGATAGCACATTGTTTAAAATAATAGCAATAATGTATTCAATTATGTGTGCTTATGTATATATCATATATATGTATTAGTATGTATGTATATAAATCCTATATAATAAAAGCCTAATATGCTAAGTGTCAGGTCGGCCGGTCAGCCAATCAAAGCATAATATGCTAATGATATGCTAAGGCTGCTCAACCGCTCACGATGACGTGCACTGACCACCAGGGGGTAGACGGTTGACCGGTCAACCAGTTGCTATGATGTGCACTGACCACCAGGGGGTAGACAGTTGACCAGTCAACCAGTTGCTATGTGCACTGACCACCAGAGGAAAGACACTCTTACTGGTTAGTTAGCTCCCTCCTGGGGTCCCTCCCTGGCTGGCCAACCTCCCGTGTCCCTCCCCGGCCCCGATGATGCACCTGTAGGGTCCCTTGGCCTGGCCTGTGCCCGCTCACAATCCGGGACCCCTTGAGGGATGTCAGAGAGCTGGTTTTGGCCCAATCCCACAGGCCAGGCTGAGGGACCCCACTGGTGCATGAATTCGTACACTGGGCCTCTAAAATATATATATATATATATTCATTTGTGCTTGTATATAAGTGAAATGTATGACAGTAATGATATAAGGGAATAGAGAGAGGAATTAGGATTTTTAAATTATAAAGTACTCACACTACCCATGAAGCAGTAAGTGAGCTTGGATTGGTTGTAAATATATATTGCAAAATCTAAGGCAACCACTAAAAAAAAATGTACAACTAATATACTAAGAAAGGAGGGAAAATAAAAAACCACTAAAGGCAGAAAAAGACTGGAAGGTAATAATAACAACAAAGAGCAAGGATAACAAATCGAAAATAGTAAGAAATATGACAAATATTAAGTCAACTACATCAATAATCACGCTGAATGTCAATGGTCTAAATGAACCAACTAAAAGACAGAGATTGTTGGAGTGGATTAACAACAAGACTCAACAGCCCGACTGGCATGACTCAGTGGTTGAGCATCGACCTATGAATCAGGAGGTCACTGTTCAATTCCTGGTCAGGGCATATGCTTGGGTTGCACACTCCATCCCCAATGGGGTGCATGTGAGGGGAAGCCAATCAATGATTCTCTCTCATCATTGATATTTCTCTCTCTTCCTCTCTAAAATTAATAAAAATACATTTTAAAAGAACAACAAGACTCAACAATATGTTGTCAACAAGAAACCCACTTTAAGTATAGAGACACATAAAGATTAAAAGTAAATGGATGGAGAAAGAAAAAATATGCTAGCACTAATCAAAAGAAAGCAAAGTAGCTGTATTAATTTCAGACAGAGCAGACATCAAAGCAAGGGAAGCTATCAGAGAAAAAGAGGGACATTACACAATAACAAAGGGATCAATTCTCTAAGAAGACATAACAATCCTTAACATGTTTGTGCCTAACAACAGAGCTTCAAATATGTGGGCAAAACTTGATAGAACTGCAAGGAGAAATAGATAAGTCTACTATTATAATTCAAGATTTCAACACCCCTGTTATCAGAAATGGACATATCCAACAGACAGGAAATCAGTAAGGACACAGTGGAGCTCAACAGCACCACCAGTCAACTGGGTATAATGAACGTCTACAGAGTACTTCATTCAACAATAGCAGAATACACATTTTTTCTCAAGCTTGCAAGGAACATTCACCAAAACAGAGCATCTTTCTGGCCATAAAGTACACATTAACTTATTTAAAAGAATAGGAGCCATACAATATCTGCTCTCAGACCACAGTGGAATTAAACTAGATACCAATAAAAGAAAAATAACCAGAGACCCCAACGGAGATTAAACAACCCACTTCTAAATAACACGTGGGTTAAAGAAAGAAATCCCAACACAATTTTTAAAATATTTGAACAAAATGAAAATGAAAACACAAATTATCAAAATTTGTAGAATGCAGCAAAGTAGTATTTACAAAGAAATGTATAGCATTGAATGCATATATTAGAAAAGAAATACCTAAAAATCAGTCATCTAAACTGATGAACATAGACAGATCCAGAGACAGAGAAGCATGGAACAGACTGTCAAACTTAGAGGGAAAGTGAAGAGGGAGGGAGGAGAGATGGGGTAAGAGATCAACTAAAGGACTTGTATGCATGCATATGAGCATAACCAATGGACACAGACACTAGAGGGTTGAGGGTATGTGCTGGGAGGTGGGGATGGCCGGGAAGAGGTCAATGGGAGGAAAAGGAGATATGTGTAATACTACATGTAATATTTTAAACAATAAAGAATTTAAAAAGAAAAAAAAGAAACTAGAAAAAGAAGAGCAAATTAAATTCAAAGTAAGCAGAAAAAAAACAACCCAGAAAGCAATGAAATTGAAAACACAAAATCGATAGAGAAAATCAATGATATTTGAAAGATCAGCAAAATTGATAAACCTAAATTATAGAAAAAGACAAAGGACACAAATTACTGATATACGGCAGGTTAGACCCTCCTATTTAAGAGTGACAGATGGTCTCATTGTGCAGCTGTTTTCCACAAGCATGTGATCCTCCTCCATCTCAGGGTGGGCTCCACGTAGCCACAGGGAAGGGAGTGCTGTTTGTCACAGATGATGGAGGTGAGGGGCAGGAAACGGTGATCCCCCAGGATTCTCCTGTTGCCCTTACCTCTGTCTGTCCCAGAGGCAATGGTTCATGGGAAGTGTAATGGAATTGGTAACATGCCGCTAAGACTTGTTAGTCTCCTGACACTTTTGGGCAAGATGTGGTGAAATGACCTGCCTCCGGGTGCCTGGTGCTGGGCTACCCCAAACCTTCTGACTTCTCAGCCAATTGTCATCCTCATCACGGCCTCTGACCAGAGGTCCTTATAACATGAGACAGACCTGCAGGGTCAGGTAACTGAAGGGCAGGCCAGATCACTTGGCCACTTGGAGCCATGATAAGCACATTTATCTGAATAAGTAAAAAAAATAAGTAAAAAACAAAATGAAAATACAAAATTTCCCCCAACTCTGAAACATCTCCTAGGAGACCTGATCACAGAGTCTAAATTGGTCTGGGGAAAGCACTGGGAAAAACACCCTGTCGGGTGAGATGAGGA